TCCTAAAGATAAATTTAAAAAATTTTAAAAAAAATTGAGAGAATGACAAATAAGGACCTTGTTAGAGCATTAATGTCAAATTAAGATTTTTCAACAATAATGTTCCCAAATTTTAATACTCCTTTTATCATGTTTCAGTACTAAAGTTTTTAATTTGACATTAGTATTCTTATACGGTCCTTATTTGTCATTCTCTCAAAAAAAATTTGACCTTTAATAATGCTTCATCAAAGAGCGCTTGTAAAAGTCTAACATTTCAGAACACTTCGAAAGCCCTTAAATTAAAAATAAATTAAAATATTTATAAAACAACTTTAAAGATATTTTTATTGTCCTAAAATATAAAATAATTTGATAAAAATAAAGTTTCATTAATAATACTTTTCTAATATTATTCTTTAAGTAGAGAGAGAATTGAAATGATTATAGTGTAATGTTAAATGTGTAGATTTAAAATTATATTAAATGAAGAGTATTTTTTAAAAAATATATTTTTCTTTTGGAAATATATATGAAATTGTAAAATATCATTGTTAATTTTTATTATATTATCTTAAATTATCTTATAATTTAAAATTGAAAGAGTAATAAATTATGACAAACTATGCACTTTTTTTCTTTTTATTGTAATGAATTAGTCGAACATAATAGAGAACTCTAAGGATCCTTAGAAAAAATAAAAATAAAGAACTCTAAGGTGAACGTGGCGTCAAGAACGACTTTAGGCAAGTATATGAATGATTGGTGAATAAAGATGTCATGTGAGTCGAGTTTAGTTCTCACATGAACTTCTCATCAAAATAATTGCTGACTACAAGATAAGTAAAAAGGGTCTTGTCATAAGAATCAATGAATAGAGTTTTATAATTAAATGGCGCGTGAGGGAGAGAGAGTATATGATAACATTTTGATGATTCTCCTGAAGATACAGAATTTTAATGACCAAGGTGATCTCATATATGTGGGGACAACAAAACAGCCTGAAGCAGGCGTCCTATATTTACGTGCATATATCATCTAAATTATTTTACTATGTGCCAATCAAATCTTGTTTACTTTAACATTGATATTTCCAAAGGAAATGAAATTAATGTGATCGCCTCTCTTTATTATATATGGATACGTTTCCTTATTCATAGAGGGTCCCTCACTGGCCTGGCCACCAGAGACTCGTCTAATAAAAAACAAGAATACCACGTCAATCACGTTGCTCCCTTAGTAAACAAATAATACATATATAGTATTAATTGAGCTGTTTTGTTTTATTGCAACAAATAATAAAACGTGTTTATTTGTTACTGTTGATTAAAAAATATAGTTAGTTTGAAATTAGGTAACTACTTTATTGAGGGCGAAATTCGATTAAAAATGTCTTATATTTTTTAATGGAAGGAGTGAGAAAGTACAACTAGTTAGATATTATTTGAGTAAAGTGGGTATGAGTTAATGTACACTATAAAAAAGTGAATTTTGGTTGTCATTGCCAAAAGACTAAAAGTTATCACCAAAAGTTTTTAATGATGACTTTTCACCACCAAAAGGTCACTATCAAAAGTTTGGTTGCTAATATTTGTCACTGACAAAAGTTTTTTGCCACTAAAAGTTTACCTTTGGTGGTGACAATTATCATTGCTAAAGGTATATTTTTGGTGACGATTATGTTTGTCATTACAAAAAACTATTAGGGATCGAACTTTTAATGGCAACCCTTTGATAGCAAAATGTCACTACCAAAAACTTATGTCAATTTTTTTAAAAAAAATAAAAGAGCCATATTATGCCACATCAGTGCCTCTTCATGCCACATCACTTGCCATGTCGCCACCACGTGCCACGTCACATATTCATTGTGAAATATGTCCAAGCTAAGATTTAAGCACTGGACCTCTACCTTTCAAATCTTAAATCCTCTTTTTTCATTAGTTGAACTGAAATACACCTGCAGTGATTATATAAGAAATTAAATATATACTATTTAACTATATACAAATATATCAAATAATATATTATTAGAAATATATACATATATATTATATTTTATTTTCATTTATTAATATGATAAAATAATTTACATGAGTGTGTGTGTTATATTTTTTAATAAAATATTATTTTTGTTGTAGCAAATATTATTTTTGTTAGGAAAATGAACTTAAAATGAAATAATTTTTTAAATATTAAATAATTTTGTTATAAACATTTTAAAAAAATTTTAAATTTTATTTTTATTTTTAAATGAAAATAATTAAGTATATAATTTATTTATAAGTATGTAATATATTAGCTTACGTTAAATATCTTCTACTTTTTTTCCATATTTTTCTCAAAAATTAATGAATAAATGATTAAAATTTTATCTTCTCTCAAGTTAAATGCTTCCCCTTCTTCTATTAAAAAAATTTTATCTACTATTTTTCCAATTATCTTAAAAAATATTTTAATGAAAAAATTATTTTAATCATATGAATTTTGTTAATAGTCATTTTGAACAATTATTTTTTATTATCTTTGAGATAGAAAATGGGTGGACATGTGATAAACTAAAAGTAGATGCTAAACAAAAAAATTTAAAATAAAAATTTAAGTGGATATTTGATGATCGAATAGAAAGAATCTTGCATTGACTCGATCTAAATTAGTTTAGACTTCTATTAAAATCTCTTTAATAGAGTTAATCTCAAGATAATAGAAAATACTTCCCAATAAGTTTACAATTTAAAATAAATAAACTTTAATAAGTTTATACATAATTTTATCCGTAATTGAAATGTCAACATAAATTAAACAATTAAGATTACAATTCTCATCCAATAATAATCCTAACAAATTTAACATTAACAAATTAAACAATTTGAGTGATTTGAAGAACAAGAACATGATGAGGAAACACTACCATAGAATACCACCATACTTGACACTTATTTTTATTAATACTTAAAGGTTTTCAATGATCAAGTAATGGTGCGACATATATTATAGCCAACTTTACTTAACGTCGCGTGTGATATGGCATGAAGTGGCAAGGTGATGTGGCATCATGTGGCGAACATATGGCTTGTGACATGGCACAATATGGCAAGTGGTGTGGCATCATCTATCACATATATGGCAGGTGATGTGGCATCACGTGATGCACATGTGGTAGAGTAATGTGACATAGAATAAATTATTATTTTTTTAAAAAAAAATTTTGGCGACAACAAATGTCATCGCTAAAAGTCTTTTTAGTGGCAACATTTGTTGCTGCCAAACTTTTTTAGCCACAAAAAACCGTTCAACACTAAAGTATTTATTGTTGCTGCCAAAAACTATTACTAATAATTGTTATAGTAACAACTTTTTAGCGGTGAAAAGTCATTGTTGAAAATTTTTAATGGTGACTTTTGGACTTTTGGCGGCAATTTTTTGTTCCACCAAAAGTCTGTTTTTTTGTAGTGCCATTATATTGTGTGCGAATCAATTGTTAATTAATCTAATAACCATTATATCCAAAAGTAATGACAACGTGACCAATTGTCTTTATTATGAAATCTATTTTTCTCTTCTGGCCAAGAAAGAAGAGATGTATCTTTATTCTCCTGTTTTAAAAGTTATCTGGTAGAGTTCATTGTATATAAAGGGTCTCGCTGGCCCGTCTATACACAAAAATACCACGTTAATGGACGGTCCCTCACTTGCCCGTCTAGAAGAGACTCTCAATTTAAAAAAAGGAATGCCGGTAAAGAAATACATAATTATTAAGTTTTTTCTTGTATTGCAGCAAATAAAACGTGTACTGTTTCTTACCATTGACTTTTTAAAAAAAACAAACCTTGAAATCAGCCCATTCATCAGCGCCCAACTTTTGACAATGTGTACGCTGGTGTGTTAAACCATTTTATCATGTGCATAATAATTCTTAATGACTCTGATAACATTTGCCTGTTAAAATTGCCCTCATTTAAATGAATAATATAAATGACTTGTTGATTATTATACTGTATGTTATTCATTTACTTATAAAATATTGTTTGTTTACCTACTTTACTTATTTATAGCCCTAGAATGAAATCAAATGAAAATAGAACTATAAACAAGTGAAGTAAAAAATGAACAATATTTCGTAAGTAAATAAACAATATACAGTATAGGAACAAACAAGTCATTTATATTGTTCATTTAAATGAGAGCAATTTTGTCCTCCAATTTGCTTATGTCTTAATGTTGTGTTTTTTATTTTTATTTTTATTATTATTTTGCCAAATAACGTTGTGTTTGAATTAATAAGAATTTAAATTTAGATATGAATCTGAACCAAATTCTTCGTTTGGATAAAATTCTATAGAAGTCCCTGACTGGCCTATCTAGAAGAGACTAGTCTATTTGAAAAAAAAAAAAGTTGTTTTCTTTTATTGCAGCAAATAAAACGTGTATTATTTGTCACCCTTGATTAAGAAACCTTGAAATCAGTCAATTTAGTACCTAACTTCTAACAATGTGTGCGTATATTAAGTTAAACCATTTTATCATATGCAAATCAATTATTAATGACTCTGAATATAACATTATCTCCAGGTATTGACAATGCGACCACCTGTCTTTATTATGAAATGTATACATGTAGAAGGATTTTGATTTAGTGAATGATATAAATTCACTCATTTAATGAGTGTCCTTCATGACACACTAACAGTTATTGATTTAATCTAACAACTAAAGTATATCTAAGAGATCTTGTTAAATGACATTTAAAAAACACTAAGTTTCAAACTTTTGCAGGGAGCAACTTGCCTAAGGATGTTTAAATTGTGAGGATTGATAATTTTCAAGTGTTAATGAAATATAATAGCCGTAATTAGGATATTCATTGAGTAAGTAGATTTAGACTACTTGTTGAATGTAAATCCTTAAATATATCTTTTGAACATTATTGAATTGATTAACTTATAAATGATAAGGTCTCTCGCTTGGCTCTATATATAGGACACTCATCCATACACAAAAATACCACGTTAATAACCTTATCAAGATCTTATTTGAACAATGACTTCCCTCGTCAGCAAGTTATTATTCCTTCTGTTTCTCTGTTATTCCATGATATGTCTATCTTCTTGTATCCCTAGCGAGGAACTTGACAGGTTCACATCAGAGGAAGAAGTCTTAGGGCTATTCCAGCTGTGGCAGAAGGAGCAAGGACGAGAGTATGAAAATCTGGAAGGGGAAGCCAAGAGATTTGAGATCTTCAAAGAGAACTTGAAGTACATCAGAGAGACAAACGCAAAAAGAAAATCACCCTTTGACCATCGTTTGGGTCTCAACAAGTTTGCAGATTTAAGCTACGAGGAGTTCAGTAAAACTCTCTTACCTGAGTTGGCAGTTATAACCCATGACAATATCACAAAACAAAGTGAAGAGTTGAATGATGAATCATGCGATGCGCCTCCTTCCATTGATTGGAGGAGAAAAGGAGCTGTCACAAAAGTGAAGTATCAAGGGGATTGTGGTAAGTTTGGGTTGTGTGTTCTTAAATCTTAACATAAAGTTAATGTTAAGATGCGGGACATATCACCTATTTATTCTCTCTCCTCGTTTCTAAGCTTAGCACTCCTGTTTTCATTCACCATTAACATAATTTTTTTTTTTTGGGATATAAACAGTGAGATATTTCAAATTGATTGTTGTGACAGGAAGTTGCTGGGCATTTGCTGCTACTGGCGCCATGGAAGGACTTAATGCAATAGTCACAGGAAGGCACAGTGTGAGCCTCTCTGATCAACAACTCGTAGATTGTGTTCAGACAGCCAAGGGCTGTGATGGTGGGTGGCCCTACCGTGCATTTGAATGGGTTGCAGAAAATGGAATTGTCAAAGAAGCTGATTATCTCTATACTGCTACAAATGGTACTTGCAAACCCACCAAGGTCTGGTTCCATTTTTATGTTTTCTTCAGCTACAATTTTCCTGTCGATGCGTGTAATTTAATTCTTTTTCTGGGTCTAATTTTTGTTCGGGAACAGGAAAAACAGATTGCTGTCACTTTGACTGGTTATAAAAATGTGACTTGGTTCTCAGAAAAAGCTTTAACTTGCGCAACCGTACAGCAGCCAATTAGCGTGGTTCTAGAAGCAAAAGATGAATTCCGATTTTACGAGGGTGTAAGTCTGATATCTCCATGCCGTGACACAGAGCTCTTAAAACTCAAATCAAATGAGTACATAATCTTGTTTACTTATTTATTCTTTCACTTGGTCGGGGAATATTTGAAGGGAAAAACTGCACAGGTACGATTAGAATCAATCATGCTGTGACAATCGTGGGGTATGATTCCATTGAAGATAGAGACTACTGGATTGTAAGGAACTCATGGGGACGAGATTGGGGTCTGGACGGTTACATGTATATCAAGCGAAACTCAAGTAACTCTCTTGGTTTTGGAGTATGTGGAATTGCTGCTTTTGGTGCTTACCCGACAAAAGAGAAACAAGTTGTGAAGCTTGATTACGCGTCTATATGAATAAGCCAGCTGGCGTTATTAGCTATATATTTGAATAAGCCTGGCGTTATGTAGTTGCACGGGACCTTGCGAGTTTAATTTTGAGCTCTACATGTGCATGAATGTCTTGGGCATAATGGCAGAAAAAGATTATTTGTTGCTTTCAAATAAACATAAACGTATATTTTTGCTCTTGAAGTATTCTTTAAGAAATACCCAGTATCCTAAACTATTAGTTGGAGCAATCCTGCGCTTAAGATAATTAAAACAAAGCATCTTTGTCATTACCATTAAATTTCCTAACGGTCAATGTTGGAGTCCCAATTAGCATTTTATAATGGTCAATATTGGGAATATGGTGCCAAGAGCAAAAATGTTCTGCTTCAATTACTTTAATGGCAAAGTTGCTCCAATTAATAATTTAGGATATTAGGTACTTCTTGAAGAATATTTCAGGGGCAAAAATATACTTTTACCATTTAAATAAAGCTCATGAAAGCCTTGTTAACCAAGTATTGAACGTTCTATTGTTCTTCAATGATTTCTCATTTGGCCTATTAGATTAATTAGATAGGAACACGTGGTGAGATTTGAAATTCAGAATATATTCAATCGGTTCTTCCTTGAAGTGAACATGTGTGTGTAATTGATGGCCAACCTACACTCAAACTAGCTCTCTAGAGCGTCAATTAAGGGAATTTAACAATTTAATTGATGGTCAATCAACTAGGAGCATTAAGCATAGAGTAAACTCAACATAATCACATCATTAATCACAAATGTATAAGGGAAATGAGCATTTAATCCATACAAAGTTTAAAATAATCCTAGAAACAAAAGTTTAGCTATAAATATTCATAAAACCCATAAAAAAATACAAATATATCAGCAGAAACATATAGCAAGAGAAAGAGAAGGAGAATGGAGAAGAACTAAGATATGAAGCCAAAATCTCTTCCAATTTTCAAATCCTAGCTCAATCTCTACTAAAATCCATGTTCCCGTGCACTGAAAGCTCAATGGTTACACGTTGATCAAAAGAAACACTGATGTCGCTCAGGGAGAGTCTGCAACATATACTGTTCCGGTTCTTGCCTAATCAAGAGTAAAGAGACATCACTTCCATTTGAAGCTTGAATCTTCTAATATATATATATATATATATATATAAAGTCCACCTAAAACACTAGCAAATAAAGCGAAGTATTTATTTGTGTGTTTGTGTGTGTGTTGCTATGTATTGGAGCCCTGCAAACGGTATCTATACATTGGGAATAAATAAGTGGCAAATGATTTGCCTTTAAATAAAGCTAACTGTTGTGCTGAGAAAACCTAAGCAGAAGAATTCATACTGCAGCAGCAATCCAATGAAAAAGAAAAGAAAAACATAACATATCAAGTTTTAATTATTCTCTCTATTTGAAATTATAAGACAACTTTAAAAATATTTTTAGTGTTCCAAAATTAAAATAATTTGACAAAAATAAAATTTCATTAATGATGCTTTTTTAATATTATTTTTCAAGTAGAGAGAGAATTGAAATAATTGTAGTGTAATGTTAGATGTGTAGATTGAAAATTATATTAAATAAAGAATATTTTTTAAAATATATATTTTTATTTTGAAAAAAATATATAAAGTTGTAAAATGTCATTATTGAATTTTATTGATATGTGTAATATTATCTCAAATTGTCTTATAATTTGGGATTGAAAGAATAATAAATTATGACAAACTATGCACTTTTTTCTTTTTATTGTAATGAATTAGTCGAACATAATGGATAACTCTAAGGATCCTACAAAATAAATAAATAACTCTAGGCGAACGTGGCGTTAAGAACGACTCTAGGCAAATATATGAATGATTGGTGAATAAAGATGTCATGTGAGTCGAGTTTAGTTCGCATATGAACTTTTCATCAAAATAATTGCTGACTTTAAAATATGTAAAAAGGGTCTTGTCATAAGAGTCACTGAATAGAGTTTTATAATTAAATGGCGCGTGAGGGAGAGAGTATATGGTAAGGTTTCGAAGATTCTCCTGAAGATACAGAATTTTAATGCCCAAGGACAAAAGAGCCTATAGCAGACGACCGATATTTACACGTATCATCTAAATTATTTTACTACGTGCCAATCAAATCCTGTTTACTTTAACATTAATATTTCCAAATGAAATGAAATTAATATGATCGCCTCTCTTTATTATGGAATACATTTACTTATTTAGATTTGGCTTCTTTTCATTTTTTTTTTTCCACTTTCTCTTCACTTTTTATCTCAACCGTCAGATTTATTTTTGAACGGTTAAGATAGAAAGTGGAGAGGAAGTGGAGAGAGAAAAAAATGGAGAGAATCTGGATCCTACTTATTCATGGAGGGTCCCTCACTAGCCTAGCCACCAGAGACTTGTCTATTAAAAAACAATACCGCGTCAATCATGTTGCACCCTTGGCAAACAAATAATACATAGTATTACTTAAGCTGTGTTTGTTTTAATGCTACGAATAATAAAACGTTTTTTATTTGTTACTGTTGATTTTAAAAAAAGTTGAAATCAATCAATTCAGTTCCTAACTCCAGACAATGTGTACGTAAATTAAATTAAGGGGAAAATTACAATCAAGAATTATGGAATAACATTCATTGCTCTATAAGATCAAATAATGTTGATATTACTTTGTGAGATTAAGGAACCTAAATGTAATTAAAATTTATTATGAAAAGATAAAACTACCCCTCATGTATAGTCTATTAACAGGGAAACAAGTCTCATTTTTATTTTAACAGCAATTAATTTCATTATTAATAACTTTAAAAAAATCAACTCAGTGATAGAGAGGAATAAGCATTGTCACTTGGTAAACAAGTCCCTATTTATGAAAAAAATAAATTTTTATTTTTATTTTAACAACAATCAATTTCTTTATTGAAAACTCTAAAATATTAACTTGGTGATAGAAAAAAAATGTTGTGATTTGGTGAACAAATAGAAAAAAAAATTATTTTTATTTTAATAATAATTAATTCTTACCGTCACAACAAGAGTGTGTATGTGTGTGAGGGGTGGTTTTCTCTTTAAAAAATTAATGATATCATAAAATGGCCCACTTGGCCACATACGGATAAAAAAGATATATTAAAGGACCACCTGTTATACATGATTGAGTTTGTATTTAGCTATTCTCCAAAAATGGACCACAGAAATAAAAGGACACGTGAAAGAATATTGAAAAAAAAAAATATTTAGAAGACAAACAGACACACACACACTTGTTTTATTTATTTGTAGTAATATTTATCCTAAGAAGCAACACATTGAGCTTTAGCGATAATTACACAATCCATATTTTGCTAATAATAACTTTTTTATAAATTTTAAATTTTATTTTTATCTTGATATTGGACAACAATATTGTAAACAAATATTTACAAAACAAATAATATACACATGGTGAGTTATTATATAATATAAGATATATAATAAGTCATACTTCACTATTACAGAAATAGTATCGCACATCTGGTAGTATAAGGAGTGATTCACGATATTTTTTTAACTGCTAATTTAAGAACATAAATAATATAAGTTGTTTAATTTTTCATGATTTATTTTGGGAACTCGTACATTGATTAAATTCTTTTCGAGGTCATAATTTTTGCAATGTGGCACTTCCACTGACAAAATAGTCCAACTCACCAATGACATCATAAAATGGACTACTTGGCCACATACGGACAAAAAAGATATGTTAAAGGACCACTTGTTATATATGATTGAGTTTGTATTTAGCTATCCTCCAAAAATGGACCGCGGAAATAAAAGGACACGTGAAAGAATATTAAAAAAAAAAAATACTTAGAAGACAAACACACACACACACTTGGTTAATTTATTTGTACTAATAGTTATCCTAAGAAGCAACGCATTGAGCTTTAGAAATAATTACACAATCCATAATTTGCTGATAATAAATTTTCTGTAAATTTTAACTTTAAAATTTTATCTTGACATTGGACAACAATTTTAAACAAATACTTTGAAAACATAGAATATACACGTGGTTAATTATTATATAATATAAGATATATATAATAAGTCATACTCCACTACTATAGATATAGTCTTTAATATCGCACAACTAGTAATGTTTTCTTGTTTCTTTTTTTTTTTTTTTTTGCCAGATAGTAAAGTTTTCTTAAATAATACAAGCTACTAAAAGGTATTGGGTAGCTAACGCTTACAATGTTTAGGGCTACTAGAAGTGGGAGAAAAAATGGGATATATGTAGCAATAATAATAATACTAATTGGACAATTTTTTTTTTGTTTTTAGATAATACTAGTCGGACAAATCTTTATAAGGCATAGGGAAATGAATTACACTATCCATAATCGGGTAATATTATGATTTGTTAACTAATTTACGTTTTTAAAAAAGTTAGTTAAAATCTTTTTTTTTTTTACATCTTTCCAATCATATCTTTAAGTGATATAAATATAACATTTGTCTTATTTAAAATATCCTCATTAATTACTTGAGTGGAATATAATAAAGTAAAAGTATATTTAGAAATACATACATACATATAATATATATATATATATATATATATTCCACCCAATTACATAATGTTGGAATTTGGATCAACCAGAGCTTTTAAAAAACATCCTATATTATGGTTCGGAGGGAGTAAGAATATTAATATTGAATAAATACTTATAAGACCAATATACGCATGATTAATAAATATATGATACAACATAACAAGAAAGTCATGCTTTTAATAAGATATAAACAATACCAGTTATCTATGAATTTTCAAACAATATACATAAGAATAATCTATGCCCAAATCACAAGAACTATTCGGGAATATTCTATAGAAGAAAGAAGGAGTGATTAACTAGTATTACCCGTTAATCATCTTGCTGGTCCAATAATAAAAAAAGTACATATTTTATACGTCGCGTGTCAATTCATTACAGCAAATAGAGCGTGGTTACGAGTGCATTGCTTGTTATAATTGATCTAAAACTTGACATCAGCTGAATTACGAGTTAGTAGCCAACTTTTGTCAAATATCTCCAGATAACACAATGATGCCATTTTGCTATCTTCCAAAAATGGACCACGGAAAAAAAAGGAGACATGAGATCAGAATATTGAATATATACTTAAAAGTCCAATTTTGGCCAAAAAGGAAATACTAATTAGGAGTTAAACATACAAACAGTTAATTTATGTGTACTGTATAATAATTATTAGAATTTAGAAGAGCACGCATAGAGGTTGAGCAATCAAACGTACGTATGGTTTGTTATCGATGATTTTAAACTTGAAATCAGCAAATTTTTTACGTAGCTTTTAGTACCTAATTTTTCTCAATATGTATGTAATTCAACTAAACTATTTTTTATATGTTATGTGATGTACATATATCATATATGCATTAGATATGACATGATACCAATACATCGACATGGCAATTTATTAAAAAAATATATATGAAACGTCTAAGCTGTGTGCGTGTATTGAAAAAAATATTCAAAAGAAATATTAAAAATATAATTTTAATTAAAAAAATCCAAATATGAACAGATTTACTGTTCTTTGATGAGCAAAAAAAATATTGTAACTATAAAACTCACTAATATAATTTTTATTGCCAATTATACATAGTAGTAACATTATTGATGCTTTTAAACTCCTTCTAGAAAAAAAAGGATTAATATGCAACAAAATTGTATTTAGTATATTTTGAACCCTAAATAATTAAACTTAGGGTAATTTCACCCCACTATTAAATTAAAACAAGTGTTCATTGCTTCTTTTTTTTTTAAAAAAAAAAAAGGGACCTTATATGCAATTTCTCTCAAATTCCACTCTCCCTCTCTCTTCCCTTCCTGGAAGGGAAATTGCAAATAAGGCTCTATTGTCTTTTAAAAGTAACGAATGTTTTAATTTGACAATGGGGGTGAAATTGCTTCAAGTTTAATTATTTAGGTTCTAAATGTACTAAATATGAGCTTAAAATTCAATTTTCCCCAACAATTTAATGTCCAAATTACATATTAACTCCAGAAAGAATTCATTGCTATTGTATTCCCCCCCCCCACCCACACATAGTGACGAGAGGAGAGATGAAAGTGAAAAGATGTCACATTTTAATTTAAAACTTGAAGGCTCAAGTTGATGAGTCCTTTTTCTCTATTATATATTAGTTATTAAGCCTAACTTTATTTGATATGGGTCATCTTAATTCAAAACTTCAAAGCTCAAGTTTATGAGTCCTTCTTCTCTATTATATCACTACAAAAAAAAAAATATTACTTTCAGCGGCAACACTAAAAAATTGCCGCTGATTCTCAACTTTCAGCAACCACAGTAAAAGTCGCCATTGAAAGTGTGACTTTCTGTGGTGATATTTAAAGTCGCCGCTGAAATAGTGACTTTCTGCGATGACAAGATATAGTCACCGTTAATTGTCAGACTTTCAGCAGCGACAAGTGCATGTCGCTGCAAAAAGTCACACTTTCAATGGCGACATACAAGTCACCACTGAAAGTTGAGAATTAGTAGCAACTTTTTAGAGTCGCCGCTGATTGTCAACATATTTTAAAATATGTTATAATTTTTTTAAAAAAATTATGCTGTAAGTTTCAACAGTGACATACAAGTTGCCCTTGAAAGTTGGAAATCAGTGGTGATTTTTTAGTGTCACCACTAATTGTCAATATATTTTAAAATATGTTATAATTTTTTTAAAAAAATTATGTTGTAAGTTTCAGTGACGACATACAAGTCACTGCTGAAAGTTGGGAATCAGCGATGACTTTTTAGTGTCGCCACTGATTGTCAACATATTTTAAAATATGTTATAATTTTTTTAAAAAACTTATGTTGTAAGTTTCAGCGGTGACATATAAGTCACTGTTGAAAGTTGAGGATCAGCGGTGACTTTTTAGTGTCGCCACTGAAAATTAGACTTTTAGCGGCAACTTTAAATGTCGCCACTGAAAGTTTGACTTTGTATTATCATCATAATTATTTATTTTTATTTATCAAATATTTAACATTTTAAGACATTAATTTTGTTGTATTATTGTAATTTTATAATGAATATATATAATAACATAATGAGTTTTCATTTAATATATTCTATGGTTAAATTGTAACTTTAAGATAAGGTTAATGTATTATTTAATGCTAACGAGCTAAAGTAAAGAATTAAGCCAAACCATATTATTTTACATGTGTGTTTGTATTAAAAAATTTACAACTAAGGTTAAGATTCAACCGAGATTAGCAAACTAAGGTTAGAAAAAAAGTCAATAAATATAATATAATTTATGTTTGGATATGTTTTTTTTAGAAGTCTATTAGATAAACTAAAATTTGTTTGGATAATTTTATTCAAAAGGTAGTTGAGATGTTTAATGGCCAAAATAAGCATGAAATTATTAATATATATTTTTTAACTAAATTGCCATGTCGATGTATTGGATACAAAAGGAGGAGGTCATGAGTTTAAACCTTGGAGGGAACAACTTTCAAAATGAAAATATAAATTGGTCACATGATGACACGTGCCACGTGGTGTGAGGTGGGGGCGACATGTGGAGGATGACATGACACCATGTGGTGCAAGGTGGGGCCCTATGTGGAGGGTGACATGGCGTCATGTGACGTAAGGTGGGGCGCCACGTGGTGTGTGGTGAGAGACATAGAGTGACATGGTGCCACGTGGCGTGAGGTGGGGGCGACATGTGAAGGATGACATAGTGCCACATGGTGCGAGGTGGGGCCCTACGTAGAGGGTGACATGGCGTCACTTGGCGTGAGATAGGGCGCCACGTGGACAGTGACATGGTGCCATGTGTGTAAGTGAATCGACATTAATTTTTAGTAGCAACAAAAAAGTCGCCGATAATTGGTAGCTTTCGCGGTGACAAATGTCGCCGCTGATACTTAACATTCAGCAGCAACAAAATAGTCGCCACTGATGTGTGGTTTTTACTGCGACAAAATTTCACCGTTGATTTTTAACTTTCAGTGGCGACTATTGTTTGGCTGTGACAATTTTTTTTTCTATGGCAACATTTGTTGTCGCCAATTCTCAACTTTTAACAGCAACTTTTATTGTTGTCGTAGATTGAATCAGCAACAAGAGCTCTCACGGTGACATTGTGGCGACTTTTTGTCGCTGCTGAAAACTTTCAGTAGTGACTTTTTGACTTTTAGCGACAACATTAAGTCAATTTTTTTATAGTGTATATTAGTTATTAAATCCAACTTTATTTCATATGGTTCTTCCCATATCATCTTATGTCCACTCGCACTTGGACAATCTAACACTTTTGACTTATGTGCAAACTATGATATGAAACTAGCCTATGTAAAATGATTTAAATTTTTTTACTTTTTATTGGAATCATTTTTTTTTGCTTGTCCATTTAAGTTGTGTGTCCGTCTATGTACGCCATCTAATCTTAAATATAGAAGCTAATTGAAGCATTTGTTTTGGTCTTAAATGTAATATCTCAATCTACTTGGTATCAATATAAGTCCCTTAAGACGGTACCACCTTAATCATCTTTTGCTCCCATTATTATTAACAAATGTCTATTTTATTTAGTTGTATTCTTTTATTGTAACAAATAAAACGTGCTCTTGTAAGATTTATATAGGAGAATCCTCTATACACAAAAATACCACGTTAATGGAGGGTCCCTCACTGGCGCGTCTAGAAGAGACTCCCAATTAAAAAAAAGGAATGCCGATAAACAAATACATAATTATTAAGTTTTTCCTTTTATTGCAGCAAATAAAACGCGTACTATTTGCTACCGTTGATTTAAAAAAAAAAAAAAAACTTGAAATCAGTCAATTCATCGGCGCCTAAATTTTGACAATGGGTACGTAACGCATTTTATACCATTTTATTGTGTTCATATCAATTCTCAATGACTCTGATAACATTATCACCAAAAGTAATGACCACGTGAGACCACCTTAATCAAGAAATCGAACCAATTAACTTATAAATGACAAGGTCTCTCACCTGCTCTATTGTATAGGAGAGTCATCTATGCACAGTGTTGGGTTATCTACCTTTAGTGGATTAGGCTGAAACCTAAGCCCAATTATGTGATGGGGCATTATCAAAATATATAAATGATATGGGTCGTTATGTGCAGTTTTCTCTTCTTTAAAAAAATGAGAGGGAATAATTTTATAACATTTTATGCACGTTTATGGAATTGGCAGCATGCGTGCATTAAAGTGCTGAGGGTGTAACTGGCTTGGCTTGAGAGTGCTCTCGAAACATCCAGAAAAACTCTTATTTTCTCTCTTTGAAGCTTGATTGATTCTATGAATTTTTTTTTTGGAATATAGAACAAAATGAACATTTGTTATAAAATATTAAGGGTTAAATTTACTCTAAGCATATTGTCAGTTGTTTGGAAAATAATTAGAGTCTTTTATTTCGCCTTCCGAAAAACGGACCACATGAGATTCCCAAAAGTTTGGCACTTTGAAAAATGGAATAATGGACCACCGAAATAAATTCCAAAATTATTAAATAAGGGACAACTTAATCACAGTGCAAATAATTTGTATGAACTTAGATATGTACCAAACCATTGCTACAATTTAAGATAAGGTTTTGAAGAATCACAATGAGACAGAAATTTAGCGGCCATTGTGATTTCATTTGTGGGAACGACTTTACGTGGATGCCAATAAAAAGTCTGTGAAACTCGTGCATGTTTGTACAATTTTGTCTTCTCTTTACCATATTTTGCAACTTCAATTTATTATATGGACCTTAATGACGCATACGAATTTAGTACATTTTCCTGGTTGCCATTTTCTTCAAAGAATAAAAAATATTTTCACGTTTTCATTTCTTACTCCAGGGTCAATAAATACTGGACACACTTAAGCAAAAATGCCAAGTCTATCCATCGCTTGATTTCTTATTTGAGCAAACAATAATGGCTTCTCTTATTCTCTCTAAGTCGCTATTTCTTTTCTTCTCCTTTTCAATGATATGTCTCTCTTTCAGCAGTCCTAGCGAATGTTCCATTCTGAATTACAGTGATGATCTGGACAAGTTCACCTCTGAGGAAGAGCTTTTTGGGGTGTTCCAAGTGTGGCAGAGGAATCACGAACGGTTATATGAAACCCTAGACGAGATGTTAAAGAGATTTGAGATTTTCAAGGACAATGTGAAGTACATCAAGGAGAAAAATGCGAAAAGAACATCAGACTACGACTATCGTTTGGGTTTGAACCAATTCTCAGATTTGACGTTAGAAGAATTCAAAGAAAGCTACTTAATTGAGATGGATCCCATAGTGGGAGGCAACATTGGTGAGCCCGACAGCGATTACCGTCCATATGCAACTCAATCCTTGGATTGGAGGGACTTTGGAGCTGTCACAGACATCAAAGACCAAAAGCAATGTGATAAGTGTTCATAAATCGTCTTTTTAAACCTTACTCCATTCAAACAAGTAAGGCATTTTTTGAGGGATTAAATGTTAAAAAATGTAAGATATTTTTAGTATTATAAGGTATAATCATTACTTTTTTTTTCCAAAAGTGCCCCTAATGAATAAATTATTTTTTTATTTATTTTAGACTAAAATACTTTATTAAATAGGGGTAAATATGAAAAGATGGTATTAATTTGAAGACAAATAATTATTTTGTTGAAAAGTAAGATTCTATTAAAAATGCCTTACATTTTTTGAATGGAGGGAGTATTTACTTTATTTATATGGATTATTTGGATTTGGTGTGGTAACTGATGTTAAACAACAAGGCTGTGTCTGTGGTAAGTGTCAATGGATTTGGATTGTCTTGAGTGACTATTTTCACGAGATATATTGCATTAATTATCTTTATTTTTAATTTGATGAGCATAGCTTGAACGATTTGGAAGACACAGGATTAATACAATATCATGTATATGTTTTATAGGAAGCTGTTGGGCATTCTCATCTACGAGAGCCATCGAAGGAAAAAATAAAATAGCCAACAATACTCTTGTGAGCGTTTCTGAACAACAACTTGTGTCTTGTGATCCTAATAGCTACGGTTGTAGTGGAGGCCAAGCCTTCTTTGCATTTGAATATGTCATCAAAAATGGTGGAATTGCCTCAGAGGAAGATTATCCTTATGAAGCTGTCAATAGTAATTGCGATCACCAAAAGGTCCATAATATTGTTCTTTACTTTTGTGGGTTACACCTTCTCATCGCTCTGATTCTCTGGTTTTGCTTTTTTTTTTTTTTAAACAGGAAAAAAAGATAGCTCTTACTATTGATGGCTATGGGAATGTGACATCCTTATCAGAACAATCTCTCTTTTGCGCCGTCTCTAGGCAGCCTGTTAGTGTTTATATGTATGCCAGTACCGAAGACTTTCAACACTACGCGGGTGTAAGTCATATTTTGTTTCAAACGAGAGCAGTGACAATTGATTGAAATATAACATATAAATTCATCATCCATTTGGCTTACTAAATTAACATATTGGCAGGGACTCTTTGATGCGAGTAGCTGCACAAACGTTGAACATTGGAATATTAGTCATGCGATGCTGATCGTGGATATGGTTCATATGGCGATGGTCATGATTATTGGAATGTGAAGAACTCACGGGGTAAAGATTGGTGGGAAGATGATGGTTAAATCCACGTCAAAAGAAACACTGGTGATCCTTATGGTTTATGCAACTTCAATTGCTATGCTTATTACCCAACCAAGAACATTCATAAGCTTGATTCTGCTATGTGAAGCAGCTCCAAGTGCTATATATATACATGCAGCACCAATGATAGTGTGCGTGTGTGTGTTTGGCATGAATATAATAAATGGCGTATTACTTGCCTTTATGAATAAAAGATCTGTTTGTGTTTTAATTACTTGTACACTTGAAATGATCAAATGAAGCATGCTGAGGTTCGCTTGCATATTGTTAATTAGCATGAAATATTAAAAATGTTATCTCATGTTCAAATTGTTAATTGGCATGAAATTCTATAAGACGGACCACATGAGATTACTAGATGTTTGGCTCTTGAAAGAATGGAGTAATGGACCACCAAAATAACTTCAAAAATTGAGAACCAATAATGCACAACCTAATGATGGGGCAAAGAATTTTCATGGACTTGGATAGCAAACCATGGATTCAATATAATTTAAGCTAAGATTTTGAAGAATCGCAATATATAGAAATTTAATGGTCCTTTTGATTTCATATATGTCGGGACGACTTTTTGTTCGTGCATACGAAGACTGTAAAACTCGTGCATATTAGGGAAACCTTATCTAAATAGATTAGTAACAGAACTTTTCATTGCTAAACAGATTAATTAGCAATGAAATTAGTGTGTTAATAGAAACTGTCACTATTATATAAAAAAAGGTCACTAATATGTTGCCGATGGAATTTGCAATTTTCATGGCAAATTAAATCATACCATAGCTAAATTTAGGTATAAACTATTTCAACTCTATGACATAATGCGGAATGTGGCATGCATTTGGTCATAAGCATTGCCATGCCACTTGATGGGTTCATCACCACATCATTGTCACATGCCATGTCATCTATTCAAATCATATGTTCTTTGGCCGACATTTGAATCCGTGACTGCACACTTCCAAATACATTTGTGTTCACCTTGTTTGGAGTTGAATGGAAAGAGATCTTTATTATTTATTTGAGAAATTAAATATATGATATTTAGTTAGACACATATATCAATAAATAAATTATTAAAATATATATTTGTTTGATATTATTTTTTTATTAATATGATACATTATTATATTTTTATCTATTTATATAATAATTATTTATATTATAGTTTTTCTAAAAAAATTATTTCTTAAGAAATTTAATGTCAAATGAAACATTGTTTTATTATCCTTATGTGTTACTATGATATTATAATATATATCTATATATATATAGTCTTATATTGGTTCCCTTGCTTTAATTGGTAGTTTTATGTCTGCTTGTATGATCTTCAATCTTTGTCGGAGAGCCGAGAATTATGGATATGGGTTGAAACTGAAGAAAAGAATTAAGAAAGTTATACATTGAAGAAACTTATCTAATTTGACAAAAACTGGGGAAATTACAAATTTGTCATTCAATGGCATGTTGCTCTGCCCTAATTTCCTTATAATATATACATAGAGGAGATTTGTCATGGTGATTTGCAAGCTTTGATACGCATAATTTCACTTGAAACTCAATATATTAGGTTTCATGCTCTATATAACTCAAGGGTTTCATCATTTTGGGTCATTATTATATTACTAGACTGGACAGAAGGCTTGAGGACTCGTGTGGAAATTCAACATTGATTATGAGTTTTTCTCTTTTCATTGTCTTCCTTTCTACATATTTTGAATGTGGAAATACTTTTGCACTGCTAGAGAATCTTTGATTGGAAAAACTGCATGGTTTCTTATTGTGATTAACCATGCATTAGTGGGATATGATTCCATCCATGGTCAAGATCTTACTAGAATGCCAAAATTTTATGGATGGTTCATTCTAGAAGGAAAAAAAAGGGCGAAATGAAACATAAGTTCCAAGTAAAGATAACTAATGACAGAAGTAGGTCCCTGAATTTGTGAATTGATAAGTCTCATGCGTGCTCTTTAACTATCAAAACGTAAAAAACTCAAATATTGACAATATAATTGCAAATATTGCTGTAGTAATTATCCTATATAAAGCCTCTTTGAATTATTTATCCTATGAAATGTGTTTTTAGACACAGAAGAATTAATGTTTGTTAGAAAATACTAACATTTGAATTTACTCTAAACATATTGTTAGTACGTCCTATGGGAAATGAGTACAGTCTTTTGTTGGGACCTCCAGAAGACGGACCACATGAGATTCCTAAAAGTTCGTCTCTCCGGAAAATGAAGTAATGGACCACCATAATAACTTCCAAACTTATGAAGCAATGGACAGAATCTAATGATACTGCAAAGAATTTGCATGGACAGATGGAAAACCATCGATTTAGTTAAAGATAAGATTTTGAAGAATCTCTACAAGATAGAATTTTAATGGCCATTTTGATTCCATATCTGTGGCGACAACACGGTGTGAAACTCGTGCATATATTAGTGTAATCTTGTCTCTCTTTTTTTTTGTCATATTTTGCAACTTTAATTTGGACTTTTTCTTTTAATATTTTTACTTTAATAATTTATTATTTTGAATATTTTTTGCTTTAATTTAGTTACTGTAAAATACTTTAATAATTACAAACGAATTTATTTTCAAAGCTTATGTTTCAAATACTAAAACCTTATCATTTAAATATCACTTCGACTTTTGCTCTTAATTTGTTACTTTAACATTGAATTAATAATATAATTATAGTTATTAATTAGAAAATTAAAATTGATGCTTGCGATAAAAAAGGTAACTAAATTAATAATTCTTTAAAGAATATTTAATAATCTACGTGACATATTTCTTAAAGAATATGTTTAACTCTTCCAAAACGGACCACCTATACATATACACGATAAGGTGGTCCATTTTTTTAAAGACCTCATATTACCCTGTATTTACTTCTTTTTTTTAACTTATGGACTTAAATTGCAAACCCTTGATACAATTTTATACGATAAGGTTTCCAAGATTCTTAATGACCATTGTGATTTCATCATATATGTGGGGGGCGAGGACTTCACGGGTGTTATGGGAAATTGGGAATATAGACAGTGCAAACTCAAGCACATTAAGGAATATTTCCTTTCATTACAATAAGAAGAATATTTCCTTCTAGGACAATCAAACTTTCAATCTCTTAAGTTTGTTGTAATTATTGATTGATCTTTTAATTTATTTTTTATTGATTTGGTCTCTTATATTTTCTTAAATTACTACGGTTAATGGACAATTCAACTCCTAAACTACAGGTTTAAGAATATTTGAGACCCTAGACTTATTTTTTTGTATAATGTTTTTCCTCTACTTTTGAAAACAGTGCCATGTAGTCCTTATGATTAACAAAAGTTAATTTTGACTGTTAGTAACTGAAGAATGATAAAAAGGACCAAGAAAATTATAAAAAATGACAAAAAAATTAAAAAAAAAGGATTAAGAATGTGAAAAGGCTCTATATATACAAGACATATACCAACGCAATGATAGTAGTTCAATCATTTGATATCTCATTTGATTAAACAATGACTTCTCTCATCTCTAAGTCTCTCTTTCTTCTTGTGTTCCTCTTCTTTTCCAACATATGTCTCTCCTTCAGTATTCCTAGTGAGTACCCCATTCTAAGTGATGACGATGTTGATAAATTAGACAAGTTCACTTCAGAGGAAGACATTCGTGAGCTATTCCGAATGTGGCAGAAGAAATACGAACGAGAATACGGATCAAGAGATGAGAAGGAAAACAGATTTGAGATTTTCAAAAGCAATTTGAAGTATATCGTGGAGAAGAATTCCAAGACAACATCCTACCGTTTGGGTTTGAATCAGTTCTCAGATTTGGCTTTCGAGGAATTCAGCAAAACATACTTGGGTCATCAGCAACCCGTAATTGATGACAACATTTTTTTTTTTTGAACAAAATGATGACAACATTAACAATGATGAGAACATGGGGTCTGACAATGATTTCTGTCCAGATGCACCTCTTTCCATTGATTGGAGGGTCTTCGGAGCTGTAACTCATGTTAAAAACCAAGGCTCGTGTGGAAAGTGTTACTCACAGAACCTAATCCTTTATGTTGCGTGTTGATTGCGGAGTTTGGATCTTAGATTTAAAATCTAGGAGAATATTGACAATAATGTCCCATAACATGGAATTTATAACAGTGAGGTCCCTAACAAAATTTATTTATTGAAAAATAAATTACAAATATTGATTCAAATTATATCTACCATGTTGTCATTTGAAATTACAAATGAATTAATAAGAAATGGATTTCCAAATGCACAAATTTTTGTGTACTCAATTGAGAGATTTGGACTAAATCAAAATCCAAACCTTTAAATACAAACACACCATAAGTATTTCATGCAGTGAAATAGAAAGAGAAACTTAACAGTGAATACCACTTACACACATAAAACTTGTAAGTGAAGTTCACAATTTTCTTCCAATCTCTCCTTGCTTCAACTGGGTGTTTTTTTTTAATTACTTTCTATATCTGGATTTAAACTCTGATAAAAATAGTTCAAATAAAATAAATTAGTAAAAAAGTACTTAATGTAAGGCAGATACAGAAAAAAAAATTGTTATGGAAAGAGAGAATAAAATTGAAATGGTTTCATTTATTCTTATTTTTTAAGTCGATAGGTAATAAATTATTTTTTATTTACATTTTACTACGGTTTGAAATTTTTTATTATAAAAATATTATGTTTATCTAGATTCAATATGTAATGTTTGTACCAAGAATAATAGAAACTAATTTGTAAATTCATATGTATATATAGGAAGCTGTTGGGCATTCTCTGCTACGGGAGCCATTGAAGGAATATAAAAAATAGCCACAGGTAATCTTGGCAACGTCTCCGAACAACAACTTATGTCTTGCGAGCCATATAACTTAGGCTGTGAAAAGGGAGGGTGGTACACAAGAGGATTTGAATATGTCATACAAAATGGAGGCATTGCCTTAGAAAAAGATTATCCATACACGGCCAAAGATGGTACATGTGATCACGAAAAGGTCGGTGTTAATTAATTGTTCCTTCTGCTACAAAATCTTTATTTGTGTCTTCTTGCCTGATTCTTGTTTAATTTGCTTCTTCTTCATCTTCTTTTTCTTCTTTCTTATGAAACAGGAAAAATTGATTGCTGCAACTATTGATGGCTATGTAAATAAGACATACAAATCAGAAAGTGCTCTCTTCTGTGCCGCTGCTAAGCAGCCAGTCAGTATTTCTGTCAATGTTACGAGAGATTTCTCGTACTACCAGCAAGTAAGTCATGAATAATCTCCATGATGTTAAATATACATATTTCCATTAAGAGGAGTTATATTAATTTCTTGTTGAACTCCAAATTGATACATGTTACACGGGTCATGGTTAAATGTGTATAAAGCTAACTATGAGTTAATGGTCGTCATTCTATACTTTCAACATGAAAAGGATTCCTAATTATAAAAATTAAATATAAAAATCTTTTAAAAAAGAAATATTAATTTAATCTCTTCTATTTTCTTAAATTATCTTGCGAGTTTTTTTAAATTTTAAAACAGATTAACTCTCAAAATAAGAAAAAAAAATTAATTAAAATCTACATGATTGCAATCAATATTTTGTTATCTATATATGTCAGTGAATTTTAACAATATTACTTCCTTTTTAAACAGTAAGAACCAAATCGATAATTAAAGTAAATTTAAATGACTAAATCAATAAAAAATTAAACTGAAAAAAATAAATCAATAATTTGGACAAACTTGCAAAATCAAAAGTTACATTATTCCAAAGAAATATTTTATTGCCGTCCTTGATATGAGCGAAGATCCCATATTTCACATGTTATCATCTTGTTTCCTCATTGAACACTAAAGTTGCTTTCTTTGAACATGCATGGGTAGGGAGTCTTTGATGATATCATCATCCACGAAGAACGACCGTGTAGAGTTAATCATGCTGTGTTGCTCGTTGGATATCGTTCAATTTTTGGTCAACGTTATTGGATTGTGAAGAACTCGTGGGGACACTCATGGGGACAAGATCTTCATCAGAAGAAACCCTAATGTCCCTGACGGAGTATCCAACATAAATTGCTTTGCTGCTTACCCAACCAAACGTCCTGAGACGCCACATGATTCTGCTATATAAAGCAGTTCGAAGTAATTCTATATGATAATGCCACTTTATATGTCTAGCTAGTTATAAGTGTCTTTGACATGAATAAATGGCATAGCACTTGCCTTATTTTTATAAAGCTTAGTCAACTCCATTATATATGTAAGCTTTGAGAATAAATGCTCTATTTGTGATAGAGCTTTGCTTGAAACTTGCGTGTTATTTCTAATAAAAAACATGTGTCCCTCAATATTGTCGCGGATCTTGTTTGTCTGCTGCTACATAACAATAGCAAAATGCAATTGCAAATGCCTTTTAATAGTTGGATTGATTTGTACCTAGTTTGATATTTGATTTGTTTAGACACATTTCTAGACTAGTAATCTAGCTACTTGATCGGTCAAGTTGGTGGTGTGTCCCAGTTTTTCGTTGCTTGTAATTTTTAACAGCAATTGAGTACAGTCACTCTCATGTGATGAAACGACATGCTTGCATTCAAATTTATCTTGTGTGAGGAGGATGCTTCATGCTTAGGCGTCTTGGGCACTGGGGTTCACAAGGTTCAGGGCATGCTTCTAAATTTAAAGAACACTTATAAAAATACATATAGGTTGCTCGCTAATAAGGTTTTTATATCAACAATGAAATTTGATCGCACGTCCTTATAGGTTATGGGTGAGCAATTCTTGCTTCAGTAAATATAATGGAAGCTTACAGTAACTAGCCTATAAGCTTGCGTTTGCAGAGGGACACAACAAATCTCACTGATCTGAACGAAGTTTTATGCTGCAATGTTTCACCAAGTCATGCTTGAACAAAGTTATCAAGCTTTTAAGATATCTTAGATAGGGAACGCAGACATTCACACTTCCACATGTTAAATTACAGATATCCTATCAAGTAAAAAGTAATAACCTTGCTTTTATTTAATAAATGGGTTAAATATGCATAGTTCATGACTATTTGTATCTAAAATGAGTGACTAATTCATCTTCAAGCAATATCATGTCTAGATAGGGGAAGATTCCCCGTATGGCTTTTTCATCAACAAGGTTCTAATTTTCGACCTTTTTAAATCCAAATTAGTCATTTAATTACTACTGAACCCTACTTTATTTAAATATGCAACCTAGGAGATTGATCATATGAACAAAAAAGGCAAAATATGGCTAGAAGTAGTGATGATGCCGCATATATAACATAACAAAAATCTATGGTTTGCAAACTTGGACCAAAAAGCTTTGGTTTCAGCTGCTAAATTTATTGTTGGCTTTGTTTCAGCATCAAAGATATAACACATTCATGTGAAATCCTGGAAAAATGAAGATAACTCTTCATATCTATGACATATTTGGTATCCATTGGCCAATAAAAAAGTTTAAAATCATAAATGACAAAATCAATGACAACACTGAACTAGCTTAAGATTCAAACATGACCTGCTTAACCAGTGTAATCATCCATGCATGCCAAGCCCATTTTGAGTGAGTTGGGCTTTTGTTAAGCCTAGCAAGAAGCCCGTTTTTGTGCTTCATGTTTTCTCAAATCTCTCTCTCTCAGTTTTTATTAGATTCCTCGCAACTTACTATATTAATATTGAATATAAATTCCTTCAGGGACATCGGATAAAATGTTAAATATAAAATTTATAACAAGTGATACTGTTCATTATTAGTTATAAATACCAAACCTTATTTTTAAAAATTCATTCATACAACACACCGAGCCCATCCATCAACATAGAGATACAAAAATAAAATAATTGATATGAGTGTTGCATCAGGTCATTAGGCCAGGCCACTTGTATTGGGCCAAGAGTAAAAATCTCGTGGGTATTGTAATTCTTGGTTTATTTTCTTGAGAGATTATTCCATTGTAAAGGGCTTATACAAGAATCCAAATGTTGTACTCGATCTCCTATGGGACAATAAAGCGTAATATTCAGTTTATTTTTCACATCCCATCAAAATTCTTTAAAATCTCCGAAATATTTAGCATCCATTTGCAAATTCTTGAAACAAAAAATGGTTTTGAATCACAAATAAATTATAATTAACCAAGGTGCTGGTGGGGACTTGTAAGCAACGACCCGTGTGAGAGGTTGACAACATCTTGGTCTCCATCGAAGTTCAGAGAGCTCAAAGTCTTTTCTCTTCAATTATATTTAGGAGAAATTTAATAAAGGACCACAGTAGAGAGGACTTTACAGTAAAGGACCAAATGATTCAAAAATTCCACTGTAAGATCATGGAAACAAAATGGCATTATATTTTGCTGGGCAATTACCAAAATAAAGAACTTTTGTACTTAATTTTATATACTTAAAATGCATATTTTTAATTAAATCAAGACAGGTGAATATTTTATATATTATTTATTTTTGAAAAAAGCTTTTGTTATTAATATTATTAACATTTTAAAATTATTTTTTTATTTTATTGGAAAAAAGTATATTAACTAAATAAGGATAATTAGGTACTGAATATTTCCCTTATTTAAAAAGCCCCGTTTCTTTGAGTACGGATCACATAAGTTAAAAAAAAATTATCAGTTATAAAACAAAATAGAAGATAAACAGCATAAATCAATGAACAAACAAACACTTGCATCTTTGAAACAAGGAAAGAGATCCATCGAAAGCTTGTTTAACACTGGGATGTTGATCATGCTATGCTGATTGTTGGATATGGTTCACTCGGAACTGGTCTTGATTATTGGATTGTGAAGAACTCATGGGGTCAAGATTGGGGGTCAACATCTACATCAAAAAAGAAACACAGGGGCCATGATTTTGGTGTCTGCAACATCAATGGCTTTGCTTATTTTCCAACCAACAAGAACATTCTGAAACTTGATTCTGCTATATGAAGCAGCTCAGTCGATGGAACTTGGAAGCAATAACAAAGCCTGGCATCATGTGCTCGTGCGAGTGTTGGGGCATAAATAAGTGGAAAAAGTTGCACTTAAAAGTTCAATGCATTCTAAAGTTATTCTGCAAACTCAAAGGTCCTTTTTGCAAATATATTTTAGGGGGAAAAAAAATTGCCCTTAGGGAGAAAGAAAGAACGTTAGGTTCATTATCAATGGACAATTACTTGTTAATTTGTGGACATGTAGTTATACAAATGTAAACTTGCTATCAGTGAACCTTAATTTTGAATGTATGAAATCATAAAATCTGAACTTTGACTTGTGAATGGATAACAAATTTGTAAACAGGGCCAACACGAACTTGTCAACTCCAAACAAGAATTTCAATACTAATAGATAATCCCTTATTAATATATGATCCTAAAGTTGTGAATGTGAACATCTTATTGTAAAAATATGAACTTGTACTTGTTTTCTTTTCTCATTAAGGGCAATTGTGTCTTCTCTCCTTAAAACATATTTGCAAAAAGGGCCATTGGGCTTTTAGAATAATTTTAGAATGCATTGGGTTCCTAAATGCATTTTTTTTCTCCTCTAGGGTTGTTTGCCTTCAAGCGTTACTGCAAGCATATGAGTCGTCACAAGTGTAGAATATTACAAAGTTACTGTTCTCACGAGGATTGAGGCAAAAGAGGATTAAAGTTCACTATTAAACTTTAAGATAAGTTGAGAAAAATCAAGAATATGCTTGTGTGAAAGTAATAAAAATTAAATTAAGAAGTGTTTTAAATTAATTAAAACTTGTTGAAAGCTTGACTTTCAAAGGCGAGGATCTAGGATTATCTCTCCCCTTTGTATTTCATAAAACTTAAATTAATTCCTCTCAAATAGAATGTTAATGAAAATAAGTGTTAGTCTAAAATTTCAATTCACTTGAAAAAGCTTTCTCAAGTCAAAATCAAGTATATTTGCAAACACTAAAATTTTGGCAACCTCTTGAAATTAATTACTGAAAACAATTTTTTTAAGCGCCAATTTTAATGTGACTATGAAGGGTTAATAAAATATCTTTATTTTACTGATAAAACCATCCATCTATCTTTGTAATTTTCAAGTCCAACACTATTTTATCCAAGTTCTACACCTAAATTAGCTCTCTCAAGCACAACTCAAGTGAACAAAACAATCTAAATAGTGATCAAGTACTTAAAAGTATTAAGCATAGGATAAAATAAATACATATATATTATTAACTACTAAAAGAGAGGAATATTCAAGTTTTAATCTATACAAAGGTTTGAAATAATCCTAGAACAAGAGAACTAGCTACTCATGTTTAGACATGAGCTATAAATGTCACAATATACAGCATCCATATTAGAAATAAAGAGAGAAAGGGGAAGATAAGAAGAAAAACCAAAGAAAATCTACTTGAACCTCTTCAAATTTTCAATCCTTGGTCAAATCTCCTTCAAGAACCCTAAACCCTAGCAGAGCAAGTCTCAAGGAATCTCTAAAAATTGCAACTTAGCTCTCAAAGTGCAAGAATTTTGCATATGTAACCCTAGCTTCAAGTCTAATTCAAAAATGCATAGCTTCAATAAAAAGCTTTTGGTTGTGACCAATTCTTCATTGATTGCGGCCAAAACCTCTCAGTCAGGATCTCTCGGTTGCAGCTAATTCTTCCTCAACTATAACTAAAATGTACCAGTAGTATTCTGCCTCTGGCTTTTGGCTGAGGGCCAAGGTTTGTCAGCTGAGGCCGAAAGTGCTTAGGCTAAAGCTTAATTCTTCACTTTTTGTTTTGACTTTTTTTTGATGTAATAACTTCATAACTCCTTTTTTACTCCTCAAATAATACTCCAACAACCTAAGAAGGGAAGAAATTTTGTAAACCCAAGATTAATTATACCAAGATAAGATTTATGCACAATTTACACTAAGATTTTGTCATTTAAACACAAGTGTGAGATATGCATATTTTCTTATTATATGTACCAAAAGTATGCACAATTTCATCAAAAAGCATATGAAATTGTAGGAAAATGCACTGAGATGACATAAATTTTTATAGGTTGTCAAGGGTCCTAGGTGCGATTTTTCCTAAATAAATGACATATATCATCCCTTGCCTCTAAGTAAAAGGCCTTATTTTGTAGTGTAATTCTTGTGTGCTTGAAAGCCAAACGCATTGTGGAGATTTTGTTGCTCGTATTATTACTGTAAAGGACTGATCATGTATAATTATAAATGGATTTTATTTATAAAACGTAAGTCTCAATTAAGAACATGTGCGCATATCACCTAAACTCATTGTTTAATTTAAGAGAGCTTAAATAACAAATCAAAGGAAAGCACGTCAAATACAAGTTGGTAGCTACAAGTTAAAAGAATAAACCAACAAATCAAAGGAAAGCACGTCACATACAAGTTGGTATGTATCCCCAGGAACCAATAAGATAAAGCCAGATGCTGGAGAAAAAGATGCTCGATAATGTTTGATATTCTTTTTACATCATAATATAGGATATTGATGAATAATTCACGATTCTAAAAAAATAATTAGGTGAAACCTTATTTTCTTAAAAAAATTTTTATCTGTCCAATTATTCTCATTAAATTTACATTTTTCTGCCATTTTTTTCATAAGTGAAATGCAACATATATATGGAGGACAGTGACTATTTAAGAATAGAGCATGACGACTCATTTAATTCGGAAAATAACTAAAACCTAAATTCATTGTCCTTCATATGTTTGATTTCAAATTTTAAATTGAGGACAAATTTATCATTTCATAAAAGTTCAATATGTCAGACAAATTCCTAAAGACTACAAACTAACTATCACATTTCACAATATTTGTTTTGTCATTGGCATATCTCAGGGTTTCTTTTGCCATTCTCCCCCAATATAAACTTATGGATTATTTATCAAAATGCAATAATCATTATGTTTGCACTAAAAATGTATTTTTTTAAGTGTAATTTTTGTGGCCCAAAAACCAACTGAAGTTACAGGGCCTTAAGACAATGATAATTAAGAATATTTTTGAAGCCTTGGCCACTAAGTGGACCGTCTAAATCTCTACACTGCATTCAGGATGCTTAAACTATGATTTAGTTTTATCAAACGATAATTTACAACCTCTATACGTTCCGAAATTATCCTTACATTTGTTTGTCATATTTGATGAGATATAATAAACTTTTTAAACTTTTATGAGATACTATTTTAAAATATCCTTAGTTTTATTATTGCAAAAATACTTTTATTATTATAAATGAGTTTTATCTTTTAAAAACTTGAATGGTAATTATTACAATATGTGCGTATATAAATTAAACTTATTCTTTTCAGAGTTCAAATGTCTCTCGAATAAGTACCACAAGAACAAATAAGTTTTTCCCTACAATTCACAAAAAAAAAGTCACATAGTAAAAATATTGCAAAATATTATCTATTTAGACTTATTTAGTTGAGATTTGTATATATTATTATGATATATTATCTATTAAGATTTATTATATTGAGATTTAAGAAATACTCCCTCCGTTCAAAAATGTAAGGCATTTTTAACCGAATTTTGCTCCCAATAAAGTAGTTACCTACTTTTAAACTAACTCTATTTTTCCATATTTACCTACTCTTGTGAACTATGTTTTCATATTTGATTTTATGTCTCAAGTTGCATTTGATTGGCATTATCCTTGTGGACTGCGTACCTACGTTTGTTTTCATGACATAAGCCATGTTTGGTCATTTAATCTCTTGATATTGAGTCCATGTTTGTTACTTGTTTTGTAAAGTCCCAAAAAAAGTGAATTTTAATTGACTTACACATATTTTATCAAGGGTTTTAATTCATAAATGTTGATAAATGTTCTGTTCATAGGTCAATTTGATTTTCCAAAGACAAGTGTTAAACAGCTTCATTTATTTTAAGCTAGTTGTTCTTGAATTTAATGTGATTTGAAATACTTTTAGTAATTGTTATATCGAATTATTCTCTTTTCAATTGTGTGTAAAATTCCTTAAGATTATTCACAAGAATCACATGGGCGTCCACTGAAGTGCTCAAGCACTGGTATTTCACAAGGATCACAGAGACTAAGATCTACTCATCCTTCGATGACGTGGAGATTATTCACAAGAATCACATGGGCGTCCACTGAAACATAAATGATTATGGTGCAAATGTAAATCTCGACACAAAACGAGGCAACTGAACAAGATAGAAAAACAAAAACACAAAATTCATTGGTACGTGAGATTTGACAAGGATGTACAATTTTTTTGACACTGAGAAGTTATTAATAAAAAACTTGAGTTTGGATCGATCGGCAAAATATAAAGTAACAGCCTTGTATTTATTAAAACACACACAAACCAATGCTAAGTAACATTTCCTATGCATTTGTAAATGAGGAAATGGATTACTCCAAGAATTCGTGGGTGGACCATGAAAAATAATTATTTTCCCATAGCATTCAGCTACATGAAGAAATATGCCTTTGACCAAAAAAAAAAAGCTACTTGACACTTTTTAAAAGAAAAAAACGCACTCTAGAGCACTCCGTAATCACAAACTTATATTAATTTTTATATAGAGACAGCATTTTATTAAATGTATTCAAATAAAATAAATACAGATTTCAATTCAATAAAAAATGATATTTTTTTAAGTACTATTTTCATCAACACTATCTTTGAATAATTATTTTTGAAAGCCCCACATTATCTTCAAATAACTAAATATTTTTTGCGTAATATTAAAGCAAAGCTAGGAAATGTATATATTTTATGACGAGATATTGTTCGCAATAGCTGTGAAAAACTCTGTTCGAGTAGTGCCCAAAACAGTGTCTTTAAAAACTATTATGCCACACTAGTCGAAAAAACATGGAGAAGTTCTTCAAGATTAAACAAATCTTTCTTGAAAATAAGCATGGACCATAATAGTAGAAATAACTGTTATTAACCATTTTTCCTACTATGTTTCTTTTAGCAGCGCTAAGCATCGTATACCAATAAGTGGATTAATGTTCTTTCTAAACTATTTTTTTTTTTCGAGAAGCAATTCTATCCTTCTGTTGAGTACCCGCCAATTTCACCATGATTTGTCTACATGTATTATGTATAGGCTTAAAGTGCAAATTTTTCCCTAAGCTTTTTTTTAGTAATGCTAGGCATTCTGAAGTCTTGTAAAAATAAAATTTAATAATAATTTATTTTAATAAAATCTTGTTAAAATAATAAATATTTTATTATTTAATAATTTAGATATTATTATTTACAAATTTCATCTAACATCTATAAATTATCTTTTAAATATTGAACAATTAATGAAATTAAGCAATTGGTCTTGACTTAAAAGAGTTTATTCAAGTACTTTTAGAACCTTAGGCTAGCACTTGTTTTCGTTAAGAACATTTATGAGAAGAGATAATTTTAATGTTATAAAATACGAGAGAGAATAAAGAATCCTAGTCTCACTGCAAACTTGAAGTCTAAGAATCAATTGCTTTCAATGTTTTCTAATTTAAGTTTGGGAAAACAATACTTTTGTTCCCCATATTTTACTCGAGATTTGGTATAAGTCTTTGCACGTTGTTTAAAGTGTTACAAGTCCCTACACTTTTCTTTATCTAAAACATTGGTCCCTACATTTTCGTATGGACATTGATGTGGCATAAGTGGTACTAATAATGCTGATATGTCAATTAATACTATAATTTTGTGCTTACGTGTCAAATTAATGCTATATTAATTTTTTTTAATAACCAAAAATAAAAAATAAACCTACATGAGATGAAACAAAAAAAAGCTGACTTGGACTCTTAAATGATCAACAGAAGGTTTTTGAAAAATAAAAATCTTTTTTATTATGTGTATTTCAATTCTTAATTACTCCAACAACATTATCCAGTAATGACAACGTCATGAACACCTCACTTTATTAGTTAATGTATTTTTTTTTCCTTCCTTCGGCGAACTCTATCGAATGGATTTTCCTGTAAATGGATAGTCCGCCAAATGGCTCTATATAAGAGTCACGTCTATACACAAGCACTACATCGATAACCTTAATTATCAGCATCGTATTTTGAAAGATGACTTCCCTAGTAACCAAGTTATTCTTCGTTCTGTTTCTCTTGTTCTCTATCATATGTCTCTCTTCTTGTATTCCTAGCGATGACCTTGACAGGTTCAGGTCTGATGAAGAAGTCTTGGCACTATTCCAGCTGTGGCAGAAGGAATACGGACGAGAGTATGACGATCGGAAGAGGGAGGCCAGCAGATTTGAGATTTTCAAAGAGAACTTGGAGTACATCAGAGAGACAAACGCAAGAAGAAAATCACCCTTAGACTATAGCTTGGGACTTAACGAATTTGCAGATCTGAGCAGGGAGGAGTTCAGTAAAATTTTCACGCCTGACATGGGTCCAGTGCCCAAAGACAACATCAACTTGAACGATGAGGACGACGATTCATGTCCTGATGCCCAGGCTTCCATAGATTGGAGGAAGATGGGAGCTGTAACAAAGGTGAAGAATCAAGGTCATTGTGGTAAGTTTCTGCATACTTTCTCTAGAGTAAAAAAAGAATATTTTTTGAAGACTTCATTTCTATGTATATAAACACGAAATTAATTAGGTTATCTAATGAACCTTTCTGTTGCTCCTTGTGCAGCCCTATTCTTGAGGAATATTCAAAGTTTTTTTAAGTGATATAATTATTTAATATCTAATACTTTGAAGTGAGATTCGGATATTTTCATGTCTAATTGGGGTAGTTCTTTTCCAGGATGCATTATGTTTATGGGTAAATCAGCATATTACCTAAGTTCGGTAGCACTAGTTCTTAAACTCATTTATTGTGCAAATTATTAAAGCCAATTTTATTGTAATTTTTTGGGTCATTGTCTATAATTTTTAAATCCTTTGTTATAATTTTTTATGTCTTTTTCTGTCATTTGTATAATAAAAGATTAAAAAATTACATATAAGAACCAAAAAAATTATAATAAAGTTGACGTCAACAATTTGTGCGATAAATGAATTTAAAGCCTATAGTATTATTGAATCTAAAGTTCAAGAGTACCTTGCTCATATACCCTATTTTTATTTACAATATTTAAATAAACCCTCAATCCTGCTTATATATGAAAAACTAAACATTTTGGAGTCTTTCAGCCAAAACATTTATAAGCGGGACTAACTTTGCAGATTGAATGGGACAGGAAGTTGCTGGGCATTTGCTGCCGCAGGAGCCATTGAAGGAATAAATGCAATAGTCACAGGAAGGCGTAGTGTAAGCGTCTCTGCACAAGAACTCGTAGATTGTGTTGAAGAGGCAAAAGGTTGTAATGGAGGATGGTATCATTATGCATTTCAATATGTTAAAAACAACGAAGGCATTGCCAAAGAGGCTGATTATCTCTATACTGCTGAAAATGGCACTTGCAAAGCCTCCGAGGTGAAGTCAATTATTTTTTTTAATTTTATCTAGAAATTGAAAGAAAATAGTGAATATTTATCACAAAATGAATTTCTTTTTTGACTGAATTGCTGAGCACAAAGCTTAATTATTGCTTTTTGTTTGTGTGGTTGGGTCTGACTTAATATTTTCCTAGTCGAATTTTATTTTTTACTTTTTCTTTTGTCTTTTTTTCGAAACAGATAAAAAGGAAAGCTGTCACATTGAGCGGGTACAAAACTGTGACTTATCAATCTGAAAAGTCATTATATTGTGCGGTCTCAAGGCAGCCAGTTAGCGTGGCCTTGGATGCAAGAGATTTTCAATTCTACAAAGAAGTAAGTCTCACATCTCGTTGATTTACAGTCTTATTTATAAATTATTTTTAACATATTTTGTCAAAAATAAAAAAAACTTTAAATTTTTTAATGCTGTTTTAAAATTTAATAAGTTTTCATCTCTACCCTCAGTAAGAACAAAATGAATTAATTTTAATAAATTTCCTCAGTATTTAAGGAGAAAAAAAATTAAAGATGAACATAGAAAATATAAAAGCATCCTATAAAGAAGACCAAAATTAATATTTTCTCTTTATTCTATGAATAGGACTAAAGAAGTGCATCTTAAATTATTATCAATTACTATCTGCTGTTCGGTCGAAAGCATCTATTATCCAATAATATGTAGTTGGATTGAGTGGAATGAACGCAAGACCTAAAATTGCATGGGGAAAAGAATATTACATCATTTTTAATACTCTTTTTTCATCAAAATTCCTAGGGAATCTATAATGGAGAAAACTGCACAGGCAAACTTTACACTAGTCATGCTGTGTTGATCGTTGGATACGACACTGTGGCTGATCGCGATTACTGGATAGTGAAGAACTCATGGGGAGAAAGTTGGGGCATGAAGGGGTACATGTTCATCGAACGAAACACAGGTAGCAAAGATGGAGTCTGTTTGATTAACAAGTATGGTGCTTATCCAACTAAGGAAGATGCAGTGAAGCTTGCGTATTACTACTCTTCTATTTGAACTAAATAAGTATTAGCTATGAATGAGCCTGGCTGGCTTCATGTAGTTGTGTGGGACCTAGTGAGTTTTGCACACTACATATATGTATGTCTTGGGCATAAATAAGTGGCAAATGATTTGCCTTTAAATAAATATTATGATGTAAGACTTCTAAATTAATCAATGTAAGTTCTGCTTGTGCTTCAATATATAGTTTCTCGTTTGGCCTATTTCATTAATGCAAGTTATGTGAACAAGGAGCATAAATATATAGTTACTAGCTAATTTAATTTTAGTGAAATTTATTCTCACGTCTGTTATTCGTAAGTATTGTACCTGCGTCTGTTTTAGGGCTATGACCATGTTTGGTTAGTTGCCTTTGTGGACTATGTATCCACATCTGTTTTGTAGCTTTAGCCGTGTCTGGTTACTTACCCTCGTGGACTGTGTGTTCACATTAATTGTTCTGAAAAGTCCCTATAAACATGAATTTGATTATTTAATGATTTTATATTCTAATAGTTTTAATTAGTAATCTATTTATAATTATCCATTTTGTTTATTTTCTTCTTTGAAATCAAGAGATAATATTTGATATGATGGTTTAATGATTTAAGATTTCATTTAAGGTTACATAAAATCCTTTTATTCCAAATTTATTTAAATTTTTCATGAAGATCATTGTGTTTTTAACTTTCTTTCTTTTCATGTTTAATTAATTAATTATTTATTTTTGAGACGTTATTCACTGGCAATAATTTTGGTCTCAGATAGTATAGCTGATGTTGAACCACCAACTGGATATTGAAGAGTTTATGATTGACTAGAAGTAGAGAAGCTAAGGATTTAACTTTCTCTTGATGTAAAGTTTTAATTGTGAAATTTTATTTTATAAACTTATTATTAGATGCTCCACATAGTTTGTGGTTAGGTTGTTTATGTTGTTATATATTTTGTCTGCTGACTGGAAGAAGCTCTGCTCTTGATTGACTTGACGTTTTTGGTAGAAACATTGTATTGTAGAATTTTTGGAAGATCCTATTTACAAGGAAAGTTCTGTCGAAATTTTTACAAAAACACTGAAACTTTTATCTTAGGAAAACATTAGTAAAGGTGTTACAAATTTCAAGTCTAATTAGTTTTACAAATAAATATTGAATATTAGATTAAGGTTTCCTTTATCACGACTTAAGGGATGTATGATTATGTATACATGCCATGCCAATCACGTCTAATTTTTGGGACGTGACAGAGTGGATGGCGTTCCGAATATATTTTCAATAAAGTGTTTATAAAAATTTCTTTATTTAAATATTATTACTATTGCTTTATAAATTGTTTACATATTCTTGTTAATCCTATTTTCATATTAATAGTATCGTTTCTCATAAGCAGTTTAATTATTTAATACCATGTTGATATAACATTTTTATTGCAATGATTTGTGTATAAAGGAAATGATGATAATTTTGGGCAATGAAAAATGATGATTGAATAATATTTGAAAGAGAGAAATTTGAAACTATTTTCTTTCTCCATACACACTTGATTTTAATGAAGAGGATTGAGTTTAAAATGCTGGATGCTAACAATAGTTCTGTTAGCCCTTAGTGTGCCATGATACACCTAGCTAGCAAGGTGCTTATGAGAGGTGCTAGCCTCGTGCACAGGTTAACGCATGTGGAATGGAGGGACGGTTATTCGTGAGCATTGTACTCACACTTGTTTTCGTGAGCTTCTTGCCAGCTCTTGATTCATGGCTCCTACCGCGCTTGTTTTATGGCTTTCAGCCGTGCTTAATTGTTTATTTACCCTCATGGACTATGTGTGCGTGCTTGGTTAATTACCCTCGTGGACTATGTGTCCACTTTTGCTATTCGTTCTGATAAAGCTCTCCTAGATTTAAACTTAAAATTCATTATTTTTATATTATTTCTTTAAAAGCATACCTACCATTGCTTGAAATTTGTATATTATATGAAAATTATAAATTTTAACAAATTACTGTATTATTAACATTGTTCAAATTCGTGATTGTATCATTGAGAAAACTTGTTGTCTATTATTATTACTTTAAGTTTATGTTTTATTATTTCAAAATTTTTAAATTAAATTTATTTGTTAATGTCTTCATATATTTATGTACATGTATATAATTAGAACGCTACTCACTGGTAATTTATTTGGTCTCAAATAGTGTAGCTAACTCTATACCTTCAGCAAATCATTGAGGGCTCTTTTGCTGCTTTTGGAAAAGAGGAGGCACATTGCAATTATTATTTTAGTAAAACTATGTATTGTATTTTGCAATCATAACTTAGTGCTCCACGTACATCATAGTTAAGTCCTAGTTTTATTTAGTTATTATGTAAATTGTTAGAATAGAGCTAGTCTCCTTGCTGGATTATTGGCAGTTTCTGTTGTTGTTGTGAAAATTTTGGGAGGTCCAAATTGTAGGGGATGCTCTGCTGAAATTTTTACAAAATATTTAAAACTTTACAAACTATATTACTATATTTAACTTATATATATCAATACTTTAGCTTAATTCCTAACCAATTAAGACTTATGAGATATGAGTTTACCTCATATTTCATGCCAATTACACTTTTAGTATTGGGGTGTGACAATATATTTCAAGGAGAGTTTTCTATCATTTTTTTCAACACTTAAATAATTCTTTGTCATATCTTTTGCGATATACGGCAACAGCACTTCCAAAAAGTTTGACACTGTGCGTTTCCTCCATTAACGTCGACAGTGTTGGCTACATTTGAAGATCCTCCTCTGATGCTTTCCAAACTTTCCAAACTCCGCATCCGTGGTGAGTTTGGGTTTTTTTTTTTTTCTTTTGCTTTACAGGAAAAACGAAATTTTTAATCTTTTGAATTTACTTCAATTTTCTATTAAATTTGAGTACATGTGCCCTGGTATTTGAATCTACACATTGAAGTCTGATTAATCTAAACCAATAGTCATTCGAAAGAGAGAGAGAAGGGGGGCACAACGTGGCTACTGGCTCATCAAACCCCGCCGACCAGAACAACACTAAATTAACTTTTGGCCTTCAATTATTACGGAACGGAGCACCAAATCAAGATCAACACTTGAAATAATATTTTCTTTTCTTTTCTTCCTGCCCTTTTCATTAGGAAAAATAATAATAAAATTTCTTTGAATTATATAAAAGATAATCTGGTCATTCGAAATGTTATAATTCTACTGAAGTCTTTAAAAACTTTTACGTGATTAATGAATTTATATAAATGATCAAACCACCCTTGTAACAATATCATAAATTTGACTTGCGAAATTGTAATTTGCTAATATATTATTGCAAATATAGAAATAAAGTTGTGATTATTTAAACAAAACTTATCATTATTATATGTTATTTCCAACACTTATAGCAATATTAGGAATTTGATATGTAAAGTTGTGATTTACTGTTACATTATTGCTAATATAAGAAGTAAAGTTATTATTATTTAAATAAAACTTGTAATTATTACTTGTTATTTTTAACACTCGTAGCAATATTAGGAATTTGATATGTGCAATTGTGATTTACTGTTACATTATTGCTAATATAAGGAGTAAAGTTATTATTATTTAAACAAAACTTGTAATTATTACTTGTTATTTTCAACACTTGTAGTAATATTAGGAATTTGATATGTGAAGTTGTGATTTATTGTTATATTATTGCGAATATAAGAAGTAAAGTTATTATTATTTAAACAAAACTCGTGATTATTACTTATTATTTCCAACACTTATGGCAATATTAGGAATTTGAAATGAAAAGTTGTGATTTGTTATTACATTATTATAAATATAAGAAGAAAAGTTGTGATTATTTAAACAAAACTTGTGATCATTTTCTTTACAACAAGGGCAATTTGATCATTTATATAAATTTATTAATGACAGAAAAGTCTTTAGAGACTTTAAAGGAATTATGGCATTTTGAGAGATCAAATTATCATTTATATAATTTGAGTGGATTTTATTATCATTTTCCCTTTTAATTATGATATTGAAACAAACAGAAGTGATCAGTTCAAATAGAGGAGTAGTAATACTCAGTTTAATTTTTTTATTTAAATTTTCCATGCAGTGGCATGTTGCTCTGCCCTAATTCCTTGTAATATATACAAACCATGGTGATTTTCCAAGTTTGATTATTATACATATGAACTTTAATTTTAACCAATAAAGAAACATATCAGATTGATGAGTTTAAACTGAAAAATTGTGCAATTTGGCATTTCTGCTGACAAAATTGTCCAATTCACTAATGACGTCATAAAATGGACCACTTCGCCACTTACGGATAAAAGATATATTAAAGGACCACTTGTTATGTATGATTGAGTTTACATTTAGCTATCCTACCAAAATGGACCACGGAAATAAAAGGACACGTGAAAGAATATTGAAAAAAAAATTACTTAGAAGATAAACACACACACACACTTGGTTAATTTATTTGCAGTAATAATTATCCTTAGAAGCAACACATTGAGCTTTTGTCACTTCACATGTCCATTTCTTTTTATTTTAAATTGGTGGCATTATAGTTATTTCACAAAAGACATTAATATCAATAAGGTTTTTAAGGATTTGTGAAGAGTTATCACATTTCAAGAGACTTTATTATTATGCACAAATTTCAGGAGAATTTTTCTATTATTTTTCCTAGACTTAATAATTCTTTGTCATATCTTTTGTAATATACGGAAACATGGTCAGCACTTCCAAAATGTTCGACACTGTCCGCGTTTCCTCCATTAACGTCGACGGTACGTGTTCGACACTTCCAAAATTTTTATTTTATTAACATGAGTGAACGTCGGCTTTGAAATTTGAGTTATTGTCCTTGTTCTTTTTTTCAACCTAAAATCATAGCTGCTTATCTCTATCCTATCCTACGTTCCTAACCTCGCTTAGCAGCCTTGACATCCTATCTTATCAAAAGCTCAGTTTCACGTGCTTGGCCATCTCATTTTTTGGCCTTTCTCCTCTTTTTTCAACCTCTCATTTTCTTGGTTGAAGGTAAAATAAAACATTTTTTAGTAACATTTTTTATCACTCTTCACGTCTTCATTTCTAATTCTTCCAATTGCATTTCTCTTTCCCAAATTCAAGTCATCATGGTTGAAATGAAAGTGCAAAAGTCGAAAAAGCCAAAAATAAGGTTTGAATGATCGCTCTTTCT